TTTTGTGATTTTAATCACTCGTGAGCCTAAAGAAAGAGAAAGATAGTAATCAGCGCCAGTTTCAGAGAAGGAACATCACACTACTGCGATAGCGTCAACACTGGTCATCTGATCCGAGCCACACTAGTCCTGCTGAGACATACAAAACCCAAGAAAAACATTCAACTTCACTTCTTAACTACAACTCCCAAATACGCACGTACGTTAAGAATGAAGACTATCAGTGGATTTTCTATTCTTGTGAGGTATTAAGTTCACTGAACGTACTTGTTGCGGTGTTTCATGGTGTTTACTCAAAATGACACTACGTTTTGATTGGTTACATATACACGGTCCAGTCACGACCCATACGCGCGCGGRCTGTACGCATGTGGAAAAAAAACATAGACGAAACTTCACCTATATATAAACATGAACACGATTCAATCCTTACCCTGGAAACTTGATAGCTTTTCTTATCATTGCCACTTGAATTATAAGATACTTATCGAAACTAGCATTTGTGCTTTTGCGGTGTTTACACTATTTTACAATGGATGCGCTTTTTCAAGAAGCACAAACTCAAGTCATGTTTACATTAAATGCTAAATGTATGGAGGTTTATTGTTAGAAAGGTTATAAGATATTGACCAACGGATGAACGTTAAGCTCGCTGTACTATTGTTACAAAGGTCTTTGCAAAGGGTTTTGATTTAATCGTATCCAAAAGGATTACGTCCGAATAAGCTCGAAAAGAAGTGATATCGGCAGAAAAAAAAACATCTCAGTTCTTTTTGTAAAACACATTTTATTGAAGTTTTATTTTGAGGATACATTTAAATCTATATTTGCCAGATATAGAACTAAGCATTGATGATAAAATTGGTCTATATATAACCTGTTAACACAGCAATTTATGAGTCAGCTACATTAGCTCACGATCTTAATCTAATCATGGTGACATTCACTTACTTTCAATCGTCAGTTATTTCTGCTATAGATCGATTACCTCTCCTCGCTTGCAAAAACGCACAACTTTCTTTCAACCCAGAACAAGAAGGTTATCAGTAGGAAGTGGGACGGGACAAGCAGCTTAAAACTGGGTCACAGCAAAGGACCAGAGTACTGTAACGTGTGCGATATTCACAAAAATAGCGTAAAGCAAGAGTGTCACTATCTTGAACTCTCGGTCACTACAAACTGGTGAAAGATTCAATCTTGTGCGAAGGATATCTCTAGTTAATCAATACAAGCACGAACGGATGTGGGATTGCTCACTCGTTATACGGAAGTCACAATCCTGCGCGCTCAGCAATTTAACACCCGCCCGTGGCTTGGCTTGGGATTGATTATCACATAGCTCACATAGTGCTAACCATTGTATTTCCACATCCAGAAAGTCTAAAAAGTAAAATATTTGAAAGGTTTTTAATAGGTGATGTTTAGCCGATGGACTACCCACGAATTTGTTGAAAGCTCAGTGTAAGATCATCAGTGTTGTCGCATCGAGACGTCACACGCGTTAATCAGAGGTCAGGTTGATTTTCAACAAGATCCCACAGACAAAAACAATTTTACACTAGCAGGAAAAATAATTTGGGTTTCTGTGGAAATATTTAACTACTAGTCTATTGGAAAATAATTATATCAGGTGGCCGACCCTGAGGGCAATGCGGTTGTTGCCTGAGGGCAGTGCTGCTAGGGCGTCAATCATCAAGATGAATACCTTTAAAACTTTTCAAGTTTACCGCCAGCCTCCCTTTTCTATGAAGGAAAGTACAGTATGACCGAAGTGTGTTTATAACTCAGTTAACCCAAGATAATGAAAAYATTTTATGAATGGTTTGTTCTTGAGAAGCGTCCCGTTGTTAAAATACACTACTCAATAGTGAGACATTCAAGTTCACTTTAGAAAACCGCGGTCAGGTCGGCCTTCTTTCGCCATGAATATCACGTCTCGTTCTATGGCCTGTTTTGTTTTTGTACCTTACTAATTCACTACAATGTCAACATAAAAATACTTAAGTTGTTCGTGATTTGCTTTTTAGTGGTCATCAAGACAAAAACACCTACCCTATGGTATGTGTAGATATCGGGTACCAATGTTCTTAGATTTTCACATATGCATTTGGTTATGGCTCGAATTATCACAACAACAATTCTAAAAACGTATGCGTCACTCTACAATTTGTCCAGGAACAGCAGGAACAAGATTCCTGGAAGCTGACTCATTTGAAAACTTCATTTCATAGCCGTGAGGGGTGACATCGATGGTGGGCCTGTATCCGATAGGCTGCCGTGAGAAAATGCCGGCTTGTTATTGATCTGTTTTTATTACAAGAATTTGGAGCAGAACCGCATCATCCGACATTAGTTATGAAATGATGCGCCGCACTACGCCGTCTCAATTTGAAACACTGGATTTTAGCCAGTCTCTTTTGTATTACATCGACCTAAATTGCTTCCGTTCTGTAAAGAATATTTTCTTGGTCACCATCAGGCCGCAATCTTGCTTTAAAAAAAAAATAAAAAAAAGTAGCTTACTTTTCAGAACCGAACGTCCCGAGTTAAACTTTGAACAAAGCGTCTCATGAGAAACGACGCCATTTTCGACAGCAAAGCATGCTGGGAGATGCAGTCCTCGCATGCTTTGACAAACATTCTCTAAATATTGTCCGCTTTTCTTTGTATTTTCTTTGAATACTTGACTTTTTGCAAAGAAAGCAAAAAAAAGGATTTTTTGGTTTATTTTAGCTGACTTAGTAAATTGCAATTACATTGGCCGYCATGCTTTGCCATCGCACATTGCCCTTTGTTATTTTGGTTATAAAAATGTCTATATTAGGAGTCAAAGCTCTGTTCTTRAATAAACTATCACATTGTAATTTTCATGGAGTAATGATTCTCACCTAGTTTATGGATAAAGCAACAGACCCCCCAAGGGCTTAACAAAACATTGTCACGGAATTGTTTTACAAACATGTTTGATTTATAATTGCCTATTTACCATTGTATTTACYGTCTTTATGAGCATTTTCATCCTTTAACTTGCTCGATTTGTGTTGGTTTAGGATTAGGTCTCAACAGGAACTGTCTTTGTATTTAGATAAAGTTAGCGACATGGATGGSTATTCCATATGGGCCTTCAGGTATCACATAAAATGGCTACATAAAAMGTTGCCTTTTACCTCTTTATCAAGAAACATTCTAAACTGGGAAAATCGCCCAAAATGGATAGATCAATTTACCAAAGTCGTTTGAAAGTAAAAGAAATCATTGCGAAATCAACACTGGCCGTTAACATAGTAAATCCTTCTCTAATCCTTGGCAGATATCCATACAGTGCTTGTTCTACGTGACTATTAGCATGTGGGTCGGTAAAATGTAGTGCATCATACCGCTTAGATACTTGGTTTATGAGCGCGGCTCTGTCTTAGTACATCCCCAGTCTAACCACCCTGTCTTTCAAATTCTTATAAACAAACGAGCACACGTGCCTGAACAGTTATAATAAATTTCATATGCAGACGTAGCAACAAATTGAGAATTCCCGAATTATCATAAAGACCTACTGCGCATGTACAGTTGGTAAGCTAAACGAATCACCATGATACTGAACCATGCTCGCTTATTACACAACTTTAAGACAGAGCAAAGAGCAAAAGTTAGTTAAAGTACTGATATGCGAGCTTCTCCGATACCTTATAAATAAACTATTGTCCCACATGTGAAACCGACTGAGAACAAGGAAAACCAAAGATGATTAAATTGATGACGTAACAACTTGGAGATCCTAAGAAGTGAAAAATACCGGAAGTATTTGTATGACGGCGGAAATGACCAGGTATGAAAGCGGATCACGGAAGTTTTTAAAAGTATTTAAAATATTTGAAACATTTTCAAATTTCTATATAATCACCAGAAAATAGATTGATTGGAGCCTGATTGGAGTTATGAGATTTTGGCTCATCTTTAAAAGCAAATCATCGAATGAATAAAAGAAAAAAGAAATTAAATGGAAAGAAATTAAATGATCGAAAGCCTCGGGCTGTCTTTTTTTTCACTGACAGCCCTCCCCCCACCGCACCCCCTCCAGACCCCTGTGTGTTTAGAACGAATGGCCTATTTGGCGCTTTCTTTTGAGACGTAGACAGTAAATTCATTAACGTTTGGTAACCAGTCGATTGGCTCCTCTCCAGGAAAACCCAGATCATTTCGTGCACTTGATTTACTGGTATATTCTAATTAACCTATGGTGTACTTAAACGGTGATCATGATTAGTAACTGGAGATTACAGCAAAAGGCAAACTGAACACCCTTGGCCCTCGGGGCCTACGACCAGTGTCTGGGAGATAGGATGAGATATTAGAGGCTCGTTCAGTGTGTGTTCACCGGCATGATGTTTTACCATTAAAAATAGATTACCGAGGTTGTGAGGTTTGCCTGATAGAGTTCCAATCTGCTAAGGACTGTACACTTTACATGCAAATCAAATAAGTTTTGTCCTTTTTTGAGTGATCTTGGAGTGAATGATGTTCGTTGCAGCGCAGTTGTTCATGACTCATGATCGATAGATGATTTGGAAGGTAGTGCTTGTAAAACCACAAACATTGAGAAAATGTCAGACCACCTGACGGGATCGAAATCTGACGATTCTTTCAAGAAACTTAAAACGCGATATATACATGATGGAAAAACGCCTATTTTTTACAAGACATGGGACAGACTGTTAGCTTGATGATTTTTGAAATTATATCAAGTAAAAGATATTCGATTTAAGCGATTAAACATGAATACACGAGATGCCACTTTTGCTAAATGAAACTAAAATGCAGTGCCTACAGGTCTAAGGTTAAAGCTTACACAGTAGTGTCATTGTACCAATTAAAATTGGCGTAGTTGAAAACTGTTTTTCTATATCTCATATATTTTATGGACTACTTAGCCGAATAATATGAAAACGGTATCGATTGAGCAAACGAGACAGAAACACTTCTGTTTTTACTGTCTGACTCACGCAAAATATACGTGAGAAAACAAGAATTCAACAATGGAACTTACCACTCTTATTCACCCCTAAAGACGTCTCCCTGCGTCGTAATCACTGAAATATTAGTAAGTTGGACAAGAAAGGGAAGTCTTAGTCAATTCACTACTCTCATCTTACTAATCAATACTCAATGGAAGTCATCACGCAATTTCCAATCCCGTAGTTAATCGAATCAAGATTTACTGCACGATAACAATTCATTCATCATGTTTTTATATTCATTATAGGATTTGTGTTGTCACTAAAATTATTATAAACGTGTTATTTTTATCAAGACTAATTGAATCGGAGACGGTTGTTGAGGTAAAGTAAAGATATCTCCCTGCGAGGACAGTCTTCTTTATCTCAAGGTGAAAGTATTAGATAGAGTCTGCTTGCAGGTTATAAAGGGTATGTGAATCCTATAGAGGTATTGTAATATTAATGGATCCATTATGCCTGGTCATCGCTATGGTAAGTGGGAACTTTTCCAGGTACTGATACACATAATAGGTCATTATAGTAAATATGA